TGCCACCAGGGAGGCCCTGAGCTCAGATTTTAAAAGCACATATACAAAGAGTAAAACGAAGAGCACATAAATAAAAGAGAATGATGCATTTTGTAGGTATATTTTTATCAATAAAAAATTAAAATACAAAAAAGAAAGCCCTTTATTAAACAGAGGTTTGCAGACAAATCTAATTTTTCTAGACTCACATACCTGCAGTTAATTCTCATACAATCTTAGATCCCAAAGACAGGCTTTTCAATAGTACATCTCAAACTACAACAGTCACTTGCCTCTTTGAAGTTTCCAGTATCTGTGTGTTTATTTTTTTTAAGATTTATTTATTTATGCATACAAGAGCTGGGGTACAGGCCAGCAGTGCTGGGGAGAGGGGTGGGGGGGTGAAAAAGGATTCACAAGAGACAGAGTGGGGAACAGAACAGGCAGACTGACTGAAATACACTGCTGAGGGGAGCAGCAGGCGAGACAGGAGAGGTCTGCCTCACCATGTGGGTTGCTCCCCTCCGGGGATTGAACTTGTGTTGAAGAGGATGCGGACTGCTCTATAGTGCGGTGCTTAACCCCTTGCGCCACCAGGGAGGCCCTCATTGACTTCTGATCCTATCTCTACCTATTCATTCCTTGTCCCGTCCATTATCCATTTTAATTTCTTTTTATTGGCTTGTTTTGTCTACAAACATGTCAGGTATGTTAAAAGAGAACTTCCCCTTATTCTACAGTCCCTCAGAGTGCCAATAACCTCCTAATTTCTAGATAGAGGTTTCCATGATCTTTCTCCTCAGTTTTCATTTTACCCTCCACCCCTTCCTTAACTCCTTGTGATCTGTTTCCTTCTTCCTGGCTATAAGAAAACTGATCTCTGGGGGCCTCCCTGGTGGTGCAAGGGGTAAGTACCACACTATGAAGCAATCCGCAGCCTCTGCAGCACCAGTTTGACCTCCAGCTAGCCAGGGAGCAACCCACATGGTGCAGCAGACGGCTCCTGTCTCGCCCGCTGCTCCCCTCAGCAGTGTATTTCAGTCAGTCAGCCTGTTCTGATCCCCACTACGTCTCTGGTGAATCCTTTCACCCCCTGTATCTCTGGTCTGTACCCCAGCTCTTATATACATAAATAAATAAATCTTAAAAAAGAATAGAAAAGAAGAGAAAACTGATCTCTGGATGGCCATTGAATAGCAACAGTCAGCAGCTTGGTCTCTTTATCAGTCCTCACCCCTGGAACATCTCCTTAACCTCTTATCCAATGGGGCCTGTCAATCCCCCCCACTCCCTGCCCCTTTGTACTGAAACTGATCTCCCAGTGATCACCTCTCAATGGCCAATCTCCCTGTAGCTAGGCATGGCTCACTTCTTTGATACCTGCTGCTGGTTCTCCTGTCATCCCCACATCCCCCCACACTGTAGCTTTTCCTATCAATTCCATCCATTACCCCTAAATTGGATCTAATTATCTAGAGTATTAATAGTGGCCTCCTAACAAATATAAGCATACCCTATGCTCCAGCTTTTTTTTTTTTAAAGATTTATTTATTTATTTATACAAGCACTGGGTACAGTCAGAAGCGCGGGAGGGTGAGAGAATTCACCAGAGCCAGAGCGGGGAGCAGAGCAGGCAAACTGACGAAATACACTGCTGAGGGGAGAAGCGGGCGGCCGGAGAGGTCTGTGCGCCGCTCCAGATTATTTTTCACTGTATACAGAGTGTGTGTTTCTGCCTCCAGGCTTTGGCTCACCCTTTTGTGCCCCTGAATTATCTTCTCCCTCCATCTCGGCAGTTCTAAATCTCATCTTCCCCTAATTTCACTTGCTATGTTATCTTTTCTAACCGTCCACCAAATGTGTTAAAGTTATTTGTGCAGTAATCATGTCCTTACTGGATTCTAAATTCTGTTCAAACAAAATACTGTATTTTGAGCCCTTCTATGTGCCAACCCCTGCTAAGTGACTGCATGACTTATCTTGTTTAATCCTCACATCTACATGGTAGGCCAGGAGTCTCCCCATGTAACATTCAAGAAATGGGGTCTCCCTGGTGGCACAAGAGGTTAAGCACTGCGCTACGAAGCAATCTGCAGCCTCTGCAGCACGAGTTCGATTCCCCGCCTGCCAGGGAGCAAGCCACGTGGCGCAGCAGACCTCTCCTGTCTCTCCCGCTGCTCCCCTCAGCAGTGTATTTCAGTCAGTCTGCCTGTTCTGTTCCCCACTCTGTCTCTGTTCTGTTTCCCACTCTCACCCTGGCATCTCTGGCCTTACCCCAGCTCTTGTATGCATAAATAAATAAATCTTTAAAAAAAAAAAAACATTAAAGAAATGGAAGCTTGCCCAGGTCATGTGGCTGATGAAAGGTGAAATCAATGGCTTTCACAAAAATACCATAAACTGGGTGGCTGATAAACTACAGAAATATATCCTTCATGCTTAAGAAGGCTGGGAAGTCCAAGATGAATACACACTGGCAGATTCAGGGTCTGGTGAGAGCCAGCTCTCTGCATGTAAGCAGCTGTGCTTTCACTATGTGCTCACATTTATAGGGACACTAATCCCATTCATGAGGTCTCCATGGTCAAGACCTAAGCACTAAGGGCCTCTTCTCCTAATTCCTTTACCTTGGGGGTTGGAATTTCACACACGAGTGAGGGGAGCACAAACATTGTGTCTATCGCGTTCAGGTTTGTAATACTTCACGTCTCCCCCACCTACGCTGCATCCAACCTGTGTGTGGGGGGCAGCAACATGTTAAACATGGTGTCTATTTGTAAACCAAGACTCAAAGGAAGTAGGGAGGTGGTGCTTGAACAGTAATGAATTAAGGTGGCAAGATTACATTGTGATGTTTCTGTATTTCCACGACTGGGTTTTAAAGCTTAAAAATATATAGTTACTAAACAGAACTGTAGTTACGCCTACCCACTCTCTAACTGTTACTTGTAGGTTAGTTTTGTGTCTCTGATTTTATTGTCATCCCCCAGCGATTATATTTACCCTCTTGTATCCCCAGAGCTTTCGGCGCATTGCTCAACACAGGTGGTGTATGTACCTGTTGATTTTTATCTATCTATCTATCTATCTATCTATCTATCTATCTATCTATCTATCTATCTATCTATCTATCTATCTGTCTGTCTGTCTGTCTGTCTGTCTGTCTGTCTGTCTGTCTGTCTGTCTGTCTATCTATCTGTCTGTCTATCTATCTATCTATCTATCTATCTATCTATCTATCTATCTATCTATCTATCTATCTATCTATCTATCTACACAAGCAAGCACTGGGCACAGTCAGAAGTGCGGGAGGGTGAGAGAATTCACCAGAGCCAGAGCAGAGAGCAGAGCAGGCAGAAGGACCGAAGTACACTGCTGAGGGGAGCAGCGGGCGGCAGGAGAGGTCTGTGCGCCATGCGGGACCCTCCTCTGGTGGCCGGGGAGCAGCTGGGGATCGAACCGGCACTGCAGAGGCTGCGGGCAGCTTCGCAGCCCAGCGCTCAAGCTGCGCCACCGGGGAGGCCCCGTACCTGTTGATTTTAACGCATGTGTTTGCATATGTGCACGGAAGCTGGGCACCGGACGTGGCGGTGCTGGGCGGCGCACATTCCTTCTGCCCAGCAGTAACTGCATCCCCGACGCTCTCCTTGTTGCGGGGTGGGCTGGACGAGGGGAGGCAGAACCACTGACCCTTCAGCAAGGTCGGTGTCCCCCAACTTCTTAGGGACAAGTGGGACTGTTAGGGGGAAAATTTGTGTTTTTACATCAGTTGAACCATTTTTAAGATTTTTTTTCCTGTAATTTTTACATATCTGCTGTCTTGTTTTGGCTAATGCCTCCAGATTTTTTTTTGGCTTGAACTGATAAACTTTTTTCCTGGAGTAGAAAACTTTTGCTTTCCACAATGGACAAACACCTGAAGAGACTGGTTTTCTTTCACACTGAAACCTAAAAAAATGTTCATCTAAGACTGCATCCCAACCTCCATATATTCGATCTTCATCACCATGGAAATGGTGGCAAAAAGTGAAAGGGGGGAATTGTTAGGGGGAAAAGGCAGTCCCAAAGCTAATTCCATACAGGCTTTGTGGACTCCACCCCCACCCCAGGCCAAAGCCAAAGACACTGGGAACTCCAAATCCCATCCCCACCAAAGGGAAGGTGGCTGGGACCTGAGGGTGGGGTTAAGCAGCCAGGTGGATACAAAAGGCAGACACGTGGGCTTTGGGGGCCCCCATTTTGGCTCTCCGCTAGCTCGCAGCGTCGGGCCAGCTCTGGGAGTGACTTTGGGTTTCCAGGTCGTCGAATCGGGTAGGACGCATTAAAGACTTTATTTCCCTATTTTCTCCCTGAGTTGTCCATTTTCCTTATTTCCTTTTCTCTTGTAAATAAACCTTTTATTAACCTTTTGTGTGTGTGTAGAGTATTCATAAGTCCCTTTAAAGCGCGCGGGTGAGGACCCACAGCCAGGAACCCGTTTAATATCGGGGTTGCTCTATAACAGGACAAGTGGCGTTCAGCCACCCGAGATTGAGCAATGACAGGTATGTGATGCCTTGGATGCCCGGGGCTGTGCGCGCGCTGCCCTCCGCCGGCAGGCGGGGGTAACCCGTTGAACCCCATTCGTGATGGGGATCAATTATTCCCCTTGAACGAGGAATTCCCAGTAGGCGCGGGTCCTAAGCTTGCCTTGATTAAGTCCCTGCCTTTTGCGCACACCGCCCTATTCCCTGGAAGAACAGGTGGTCCCCCACAACCCCCCCCACCAACCCCCTTGTGGGGAGGGGCCTGGACTCGTGTCATCAGCCACCCACCAATGAGGAGTCAGGTGGGGCAGCTGCTCCCCGCGCGGGGCGGGTTTCCAGGGGCCTGCGCGCCGCCTGCGCTCGCTTCTCCGGTAAAGCAGCTGCGCTGCTGCCCGGCGGCCCCGGCCCCGGCCCCGGCCCCGGCCCCGCGCGGAGCGAGCCCGTGGGCCGGCGGCCGCGGGGAGCTAGGCCCCCGGGGGCGCCCGCGGCGGGGCCATGGCCCGGAGCCCCGGGGCGCCGGCCGCCTACGGGGAGGAGTTCTCCTTCGTCAGCCCGCTGGTGAAATACCTGCTGTTTTTCTTCAACATGCTTTTTTGGGTGAGTCTTGGGCTTCAGGGCACCCCCTTCCCGCGGAGGATGGAGTGGGGTGCCGGCGGCCGAGGAGGGGCGCCCCGGGATGCCGGGTGCTGGGCGAACGCGGGGAGCGGCGCTGCCTAGTTTTCCTGGGCTCGCGGCACTTTGGGGTAATTTATCCCGGGGAAGGACATCTCGGCGGCCGGGTCTGCGGGGTGCGGGGTGCGGGGTGCGGGAGGGGAGCGGCGGGGGTCTGCGAGCGGTTCTATGCAGACTTCTGGGTATTCTCTGGGCTTCGGATGAGGGTCTGCGTCAGACAAGAAAGGTGAGTTTGATCGGGAGGAGCGGCTTTTCCTGTTGGCCCAAGACGCACTGGCATATTCGCGATGGGGGACTTCCAGGCCTGGCGGCGGGAGGCCCTGCGGCGCGGAAAAAAGAACAAGAGGGGGAAACCCAGCTCTTCCCTGCCCTCACCTCGGAGGCGAGGGGTGAAGGGGCTTCACCTTTTCCTTCTGCAGACCTCAGGGGCTTCCCTCTTCCTAAGGCTGGGAAGGGACGCGCGAGGTCTGCAGGTGCGGACGTCTTTCCCAGCACTGCCCCAAACTTCACCCCACTCTCTCAGGACCGCTCTCCACCCGCCTCCGCCGCAGGCGGACAGTTTCCAGCTTCTTTGAAAAGGACCCTGTGGTGGACTGGAAGGGTCCTTTCGTAATCTTTTGCTTGGGGGTGAAAATTGTGGGAAAAATAGTGGACTGGCACCACCTGGGTTCTCAGGCCCACTCTGCTATTAATTGTTGACTTGACTAACCTGGGCAGCTTGTTCACCACTGAAGGTGTCAGTCTCCTCCTTCATGACATCAAACCCAGTATGATCAGGAACTGAGAATCCAGCTGGGTCAGATGGGGAAATGCTAGCTCAATCCAATTTCATGTTGCAGGAGTCCGTGGGTCCCTTCAAATTTGAGAGCACAGGGAGGTTCCACCTCCATCCCTCCATTTTTCTTTCAGCACCAACCCCCCTGCAGAGTTGCTGCTCTAAGAGCCATTATCCTTGCCCACTCTGCCTGAGACCTAAAGTTCAGATTTGCAGGAGGGAGAAATCATGAGTCTAAAATATGTTTCCTAGGAGAGGGAGCAGACCAGGCATCTAAGCCAGTTGCTGGAAAGGTTTCACAGAGGCCGTGGTGTGAAGAACAGACACAAAGTACGTAAGTGCTAGCCTGTTGGGACAAATGAGAGAAATCCCAGAGGGTGGTGATGACAGCTCGCTCTCAGCCATTGTGCTGGGGAAAATCAAATTTGAACACCTATGAAATTCTCAGTTTTAGAACTGGGAAAAATCTTTGGGAGCCATCTCGTCCAGCGTTGGCATTTTATTTTACATGTGAGCAAGCTAAAGCACAGAGAAGTTAATTGTTTTATCCAGAGCCCAACAGCTGGTCGGTAGGCTTGACCTGGTGATTTTCTACTGAACCACAGTGCTGCTAGGGGAATTCCTTGGCCCAGATGGCTGCTCCTTAGCTAGGGTGCTGGAGTATTAATAGTCAACACAGGTTCCCACCCATGGTCTAGGTTCTGGTTCAGCTGCAAGCTAGGGAAGAATAGAAGAAAATCTCACCACCACTCTGCTAGGACTGGGGGTTGTCAGAGCCATCAGTGGCATCCCAGGTCCTGACTTCCTCTGTCAACTAAGGCTCTGCCTCTCCTTTGGAGCTCTTGACTGCCCACCCTTAGCTGTGGCCTTGACTGCCCACCCTTCTGCTGGTTTCAAACAGTCTCCACCTAAGAAAGGTCCCTGCTCCAAAATGGTGATGCCGGGGACACGCTCCCCTATGCGTTGGGTCTGCCCAGGTGATGGGTGCTCGCTCCCCTCTGGGCTCGGACTGTAGGCCAGAAGAGGCCTGGTGTGGGTGAACCTCCCAGCTCACCTCTGGCTCCTCTGGGAGCCTTCTGCTGGTTTCAAGCCATCTCTACTGAAGAAAGGTCCCTGTTCTAAAATGGCGATGCGGGGGACGCGCTCCCCAGTGTGCCTGGTCTGCCCCAGTGGTGGGTGCCGCTCCCCTCTGGGTTCGGACTGCAGGCCAGAAGGAGCCTGGCGTGGGCGAACTTCCCAGCTCACCTCTGGCTCCTCCAGGAGCCCTCCGCCAGCTTCAAGCAGTCTCCACCAAAGAAAGGTCCCTGCTCCAAAATGCCGATGCGGGAACGAGTTCCCCTGCACACCTGGTCTGCCCGAGATGCATCTTTAGATCCAGCTCCAGATCTTAAAGAAAGCAATAGTCCACAAAATGATGTATTTATCCTTAAATAGTTCACAGAGGCAGAAAATTTTTCTCTTTTAGAGGAAAAAGATTAAGGACAGAGAGACAGATATATTGGCTAGGGTAACACAGTAAATTTGTGCCAGAAAGAAACTGGGCCTCTTGTCCTTTAGTGCGCTATTTCTAGAGTCTCTGGCTTTTTATGAGGTTAAAGTAGGGCCAAGAAGGGGCTCTTCTCTACTTTGGGGTGGTGCCAGCTTGGTTAGCTAGGTTCTCTGACCTTGAATGAGGCATTTTTACCAAAGGAAATGGGTCTATGGAGCCAATCCCTCTCCCTGGCTGTCACCTCCCAAAGTCGTCTGTCTAATAAAAGGAGGGTAAGGTAAGGTAGATTGGGTTGGGATGGGGTGAGGAAGTTCAAGAAAATGACCTAGGTTCTAGCCCAACTTCTGCTGCTCACTGGCTGAGTGAAATGGGGAAAGTTATGTGAATTCTCCCAGCATCAGTTCTGTAAAATGGAGACACAAACCCTCTCTCAAGGGTTGTGGTGAGAATACAGTGAGACAGGTGTACAAAGTATTTAGCCCAGCCCCTGGTCCTCAGCACTCCACAAAAGGTAGCTATTACTGTTGTTGTTGGAAATCACACCTAGAGGTCACCTTTTGGGGATGGGCTTGGAGAGCTGGGTAAGCACTCCTCCTGACAAGTGGCAGGTAGCTGGGGTTCGGGGCTAGGTGAAGACCAATCTTGAGCCTGAGTTCCTTCAGCCCTTGAGCCTCTTTGCTCACATTCCTATTATTTGCTAGAGGGAAATAATGATTAATGTTATCTTTATTTTTTTTAGATTAATTAATTAATTAATTAATTAATACAAGCACTGGGTACAGTCAGAAGCGCGGGAGGGTGAGAGAATTCACCAGAGTGAGAGCAGGGAGCAGAGCAGGCAGAAGGACAGAAGTACATTGCTGAGGGGAGCAGCGGGCAGCAGGAGAGCTCTGCGCGCCATGTGGGACCCTCCTCCGGTGGCTGGGGAGCAGCTGGGGATCGAACCGGCACTGCAGAGGCTGCGGGCAGCTTCGCAACCCAGCGCTCAACCACTGCACCACCGGGGAGGCCCCTGTCTTTATATTTTATAGAGAAGGTTTGATATGTGACATATGTAGTATATAAAAATTGATGTGTGCGTGTGTGTATGCATAAAATCGGTCATAGGAAAGGGGCCCCACTGTTATCTCTGAGGACCTTCCCTAAAGACAGGTCCATTCCTCAAGGCTCATTACACACGTTGGACTGAAGATTCAATCCAATGGAGATGGCCTCCGAGAACTAACTTGTCTGTATTTATTGGCATTTGGGCTTTAGAGCCAGGAGGAGAACACTTATGAAGGGCCTTGGCTTGTGGCCCTATAACCTTACCTCTCTTAGTATTGGTGGCCCTGAAGTATCCTAAGGGTTTTTCTCACAAATAAAATCATGGCTCTCTTTTTCCAATTTTCAGGAGAAAGAAAGTCAATATTATAGAGAGAATTTTCTCCATTTTCTATTTTTCCCAGGTACATTATTGCCTGTAGCTCTGCTTATCTGCCAGCAAGTCCGTGCACCAGCTAGCAGAAGGCAAAGGGGAGAGAACAAGTAGCAACCAAATATTATGGAAAACTGGAAACACTTTAGAGTACTGCCATATTACTGTTTTATGGGATGAAGAGACATATGTCTAACATCCAGATCCTCTATTAGTACATTGTTCTTCATTTCTATGTAGAAATTAGTATGTTGTGCTTCTTTACACGATATGCTGAGAACACAAAATTGTATTTGTGTCAAAAATACATCATCCAAATCTAATTGTGAGGAAACAATCACATATATCCAAATTGAGGAGCATTTTGCAAAAACAACTGTCCTGGACTTATCAAAAATGTCAGAATGTTATAGGACAGAGAGAGGGGCAGCCCAAACCCCGCAAACCTGCCTATTTTAAATGGGTTCTGCCATCCGCCGCATCAACACAAAACATAGGAGACTTTAATGGGAAGGAACTTTAATAAAACTAGGAAACAATACAGGTAAGTCAAAGAGTCTAGTTTCTAAATGAAGCACCCAAAGTTACCCATCCCCTCGTGGGTAAAAGTCCATCCATATGGGATCGGCCCAGAACAAGGCCCCAAAGCCTGCTAAAAGTCTAAAGCATCTTCCAGTGGGGACCCACAGAAAAGGGTCACAAACAACCGGACAAGTCCGGAAGGAAAAGAGCAAAATCAACATCAAGATAAAAGCTGCCATTGTCACCTCCCCACAGGTCTCACTCACATCTGTGTCACCCAGTCCACGACCAAAAGACAAGCGCAGTTTCTTCACGTGTCTCTAGGCTCCATGCGCCTCCTCCAGGTCTCCTGGCTCTATCCTGCTTCCTTCCTCAGTCTCTTCTGCAGCTTCTTCTCTCCCTGCTCAGCTCCACCCTCCCTTGGGTGGGGCAGGGAACCTCCCCCTTTCCTGGGGACCACCCTGTTACAATAACAAGTATTGGCAAGGATGTGGAGAAACTGGAACCCTCATATATTGCTAGTGGGAATGTAAAATGGTGCAGCCACTGTGGGAAAGTAGTTTGGCAGCAGCAACTCAGAAAATTAAACACAATTATCATGTGATCTGGCAATTCCACTCCTGGGTATATGTCGCCTCATGGGGCCACAGCATTGGGGCAGTGCAGGAGGGAAGAAAAACAACTTAAAGTCCAAGTAGAGAGAGAAAGAGAGACCTAGAGGG